GAGTAGGGAAGGACAAATAATGAAGGGGGTTTTGAAGAAAATGATAATAATGATTAATGTGCCCTACAGGAAAGAGAAGAAAGGTGAGTAGGGAAGGATAAATAATGATGAGGGTTTTGAAGAAAATGATAATAATGATTAATGTGCCCTACAACAAAGAGACGAAAGGTGAGTAGGGAAGGACAAATAATGAAGGGGGTTTTGAAGAAAATGATAATAATGATTAATGTGCCCTACAGGAAAGAGAAGAAAGGTGAGTAGGGAAGGATAAATAATGATGAGGGTTTTGAAGAAAATGATAATAATGATTAATGTGCCCTACAACAAAGAGACGAAAGGTGAGTAGGGAAGGACAAATAATGAAGGGGGTTTTGAAGAAAATGATAACGATGATAAACGTGCCCTACAGCAAAGAGACGAAAGGTGAGTAGGATAGTAAAGATAGTGGTTATAACAAAAATGATAATGATGATAAACACATAGAAGGACTGGGAGAACACTGTGCCCTACAGCAAAGAGACAAAAGGTGAGTAGGGAATGATAAATAATGTCAGTGGTTATGATTTAAAATGATGTTAAAAATAGTAATACTTGGAGAACACCACCCTATAGCAAAGAGACGAATGAAGAAGGAAATTGACTGTAGTTATCATAATAATAGAGGAGAAAATGATTAATAAAAGCAGGAATACTCTTGAGGGTATGCGATGCCCTACAGCAGAGATGAAAGGAGAATGAAGAAAGAAATATATTTACTGTAGTTATGATAATAAAAGAGAAGAAAATGATAATGAGGATGATTTTAGTAATACCTGGAGACACCATGTCCTATAGTAAAGAGACGAAGAAAGGTGAATGTGGAAGGGTAAATGACTAAAGTGGTAATGATGAAAATGATAATGATGATAAAAATAGTAAACTGGGGGAACACCATACCCTACACTACAGCAAAAGGACGAAAGGTGAGTGGGGAAGGATAAAAAACGATAGTAGAAAGTTAAAGTCATAGTAAAGACGAAAATGACAATGATGAAACACATGGAAGGACTGGGAGGGAGAACACCAAGCCCTACAGCAAAGGGAGGAAAGGTGAATGGAGAAGGAAATAATTTTACTGTTGTTATGATAATAAAAGAGACGAAAATTATAAAAAGGATGAGACTAGTAATACCAGGAGAACATCGTGTTGTACGTCCGAAAGATGAAAGTAGAAGGGTAAATAACGATATCAGTAATGATAATAATGACGAAGTAGGACAAACTATTTGCAAGATGATCGAACATGCAAGTTTTGTTCGGATCTATACAGTACAAATATATATTCTAAAAAAAAAAAAATCTAAACAGGAATTTTATGTCTTTTTTCTTTTCTTGTAAAAAGTTTCTTTTTAACCTATACAGTTCAAATATCTCTTTTTACTTTTCAGGTTAAAAGTTTGTTCTTTTTGATCTATACGATAGAGCATATGTTTTTTTTTCTTTTTAAGTTAAAAGTTTATTCTTATGAATCTATATAGTACAAATACAGTCGAACCTGCCATGATGGCCACCTGTATAAGCGGCCACTTTCCATTTGCCCCCTTGCATTTTTTCTATATATAACTTAACGGTGTTAAACGGTCACCTGTACAACGTGGCCGCGACCACCTTATTTTAGCCAGGCGTGGTCACTCATTACCTTATGCTTTGTAATAAATTTTGAATCGGGCCCCTGACGCTGTGGACGGCCGTCATAATACATTCACCTGTTGTTCTTAGTCCTTCCAATGAATATTTACCCATGCTGACAAGTGGGTAACAATAAATTTTCAACTGCTGGTGAGGGAGGTGTGTGATCCGTCATAACCTATAAGCCTCGCCCACAACTCATACACAAATCAAATGTGGGGGGACTGGTCACTTTTTTGTTTACCTAATCTGTAACGAAGTAACAACAGGTGTTGATTTGAACTTGTGACAGAAGCGTGGCTCGGCTCGTTCTCGCCCTGTGTGTTTGTTTCACCATGGCACTCGGTCTTCATCATTTTACGCGTGTCATTTATTTTACCCTTGCACACAACCTGTAACAAAAAAATAAACCAACAAAACAACCCCCCCAAAAAAACAAAAAAAACAAACAACAAACAACAACAACCTTCTTACACACCCCCCCCCCCCCCCCCCACCACCCCTCCGCCATTTTTCAAAAGAAAACAAAAACCCTTTTGAATTAACCTTATGGCAGTCCAAAGCCCCGGTTTGGGCCTCCGAGGAGAATGGTTTGCTTTCTTCATTTTGATCAGTCCTGCTTAAGACGGCCAACTTTATTATACAGCCACTTTTTTCCTTGACAATGGGTGGCCGTCTTACACAGGTTCGACTGCATATCATTTTCCTTTTCTGTTAAAAAGCTATTGTTTCTAAATCGGTACAGTACGAATATATGTCTCTATGACGCGGTGGAATCAGGCACTTGTCAATTTTTGGGCATGTGGAATTATTGGTATCATATGAAAGCTTTTTCGTTTGCCTTGCATTTTATGAAAAAAATACTTTTTAAAATCTTAAATAGAAGTCACAATATTTGCCATTGAAAGAGGTGGGGGTAACATGGTTTCAGGGATAAAATTAACGAGAAAATGGCTGCCTAAGTATGGTAATGCCTATCTATAGTTTGAGAGTCTCAGGAAACTAAATATTTACATATTTTGTGCTGTTTAACAACTTTTTTTCAGTAAAATTCTCATGGAAATTTGTTTATATATAGACAAAAAAGGTGTTGAGCCGAAAAACAAAAATTTGATACAGACAAAGTGAAGGAAAAATGCCTGTTTCTTGGATTTCATTATTTTGACGAGCGCCTGATATCACCACGATACCTCACATAATTTTTATTTTTTTTCTGATAAAAAGTATACCTTAAGTATATCTTTCTTTTTTTTCTTTTCGAATAAAAAGTCTGTGCTTTTTAATCTATACAATGCAAATGTCTTTTTTACTTCTCAGGTAAAAAGTTTGTCCCTAAAGAGCAGGAGAAAACCAAAATCAACGAGGACGAGGCAGTGGAGACTGAGTGGGACGAGATTCTGACCGCAGCCAGCGAGGAGGAGCTGGTGGATTTAGCAGGTGTGTGTTTGTATGTGTGTGTGTGTGTGTACATGTGTTTTTGTGTGTATGTGTGTGTGTGTGTATGTGGGTTTTTGTGTGTGTATGTGTGTGTGTGTGTGTGTGTGTGTGTGTGTGTGTGTGAGAGTATGTGTTTGTGTGTTTTTGTGTGTGCTTATGTGTGCGTGTGTCTTTGTGTGTTCTCATGTGTTTGTGTGTGTGTGTGTGTGTTTGTGTGTGTGTGTGTGTGTGTGTGTGTGTTTGTGTGTGTGTGTGTGTGTGTGTGTGTGCATGTGTGTGTGTGTGTGTGTGTGCATGTATATGTGTGTGTGTGATTTGTATGTGTGTTTGAATGGTCTGATGGTTCTTTCGTGTACTACTGAATCAGGCTGTATTCCTACTGCGTTAGGACATATTGTTGTTTTTACCTTTGTGTTCGTGTCTGTGTGTGTGTGTGTGTGTGTGTGTGTGTATGAAAGTATGTGTTCATGTTTTCATAAGAATGTTTCACTTAAGAGTCAATGCATTGAAATGAGATCATGATGTTTAGTTGATGAAATAAAAACAAATTTGAAAATAAGTGAATAGTTTTATAATGGATCGTTGGTGGGTGCTCTGATGTGGTTTGCTCCTTTATTTGCTATCAAACATCTATCGTCCTTGTCTCTCCTCCTTCTTTCCTGTGTATGTTAAACTTTTAACACCTTTATATATATATATATTATCTAATTGTGTTGCAAATGCCGTAAAACACTTATTAAAAGTGAACTTTAAGTAGTTTTAAAATTAACTTGGGTTTAAGGAAACCAGTGAAAAGAGATTAATTTACAAGCTTTTATAAGAAAAATGAGTTTTCCTATATTTTTTCTTGCAATTATTCACTCTGGGCCACAGATGACACCTTTTGGTGTCATGTAAAGAAGATATGAGGGGGTCATACTTTACTTTTACTGTACATCTGAGTACTTTAAGCACACCAAGTGGTTGGTTGGCGGGTGCGAGGGTGTGGTTTGCTCCTTCTTTCCTATGAAACAGCTATCGTCCAAATGTCTCCTCTTTTTTTTTTTTGATTTTTGGATGGTTAGCGGTTGCTCTGGTGTGGTTTGCTTCTTCTTTCCTATCAAGCATCTATCGTCCTTATCTCCCCGTCTTCTTTTTTATGTTTGTTACTCTCTGGTAACCCCTCTAATCTTCTGGTGCTCATATGACCTTATGCAGTTGCGAGCGCCGTAAAACCCCTACTAAAACAAAAACTTTTTATTGGATTTGTTACTTGCTTGTAACAACTAAACCTATCTCTCCTCCTGTTTTGTGTTTGTTGCTCCCTTGTAACACCTCTAATCTTCCGCACTTTTATGACCTGAAACATGCAAGTGCGGTAAAATGCTTACTACAATGACTACAACGAAACAATACACCAACGTTATACCACTCTAGGTCATTGACAATGTCTGTTTCATCCCCCCCCCCCTTGGACAGCTGTCCTGGGCTTCCACAGCATGCTGACACAGACCCAGTACTACGCCTCTCTGGAGGACAGAGAGATCCACGAGGGAGGCTTCTTGGGTAAGTCTTTGCTTAGTTTTTCTTAACTCCGCGGTGCTGCGGGACAGCAGGAGTTGGTGGTTGGCGGATGCTCTGATGTAGGTTGCTCCAACTTTCCTCTCGAACATCTATTGTCTTTATCTCTTCTCTTATGTGTTTTGTGTTTGTTATCTCCTCTTTTAACTCCTCTGGTCTTAAGCACTGACATTGCTTTACGGTGTTACAAGTGCTGTAAAACCCTTGTTGTTGTTTTCAAATCCCTTTAGCTGCGAGCATTTCGCTCTTGGCAGCGCAGTGCCTCCCTCAAGTAACCGCATGTCCTTGTCATCTGGTCAACGCCTTGGTAGAGCAGGCTTTGTAAGTCTGTAGGTGTGTGTAGGAGCTTGCATCGAAGAACTGCCAGGTTTGGGCGGTGAAGGAGAAGATGTTCAACGGTCTCCTCGTGGTAGTCACAGTGTGTAAAACCCTTACTAAAACAAAACAAAAATTTAAAATAAAGAAATAAAGAAAACAAAAGACTACTGGAATTTCTTCAGCTTAAGCGGGTTTTGCCTTCAGAGGGATTGCTCAAATGGTAAAGAAAAATGACTGGAGATACTGTTTTCTTTAGGTTGACCGCTGTTTTTGGATAAACTGTATTTTGTTTAAAAGCAGATTTCATTGTAATTGTGCTTAATAGTGCGGCTGGTATGAATTTCATGCCTGTTCAATCTTATAATGCTTATTGTACATGTGGGACCTCTGATTTGAATGCCTGTAGCACAAAAGTGACAGATAAACCCATTCATGATTATATATTAAGAAATTGGAAGGGAAAACATGTATATTTATATATAAATCGGCAGTTCATTCTATTTCCAACTTCATGAAAACTAGCTTCTGCAGTGTAATGCTATTGATTTTTGTACAATTTGCGAAGGCATGAGTTCGATTTTCCACATGGGGGATTATTTTATGAAATATCTCAGTGTATATCCCATTTTATTATTAGTTTGATTCTTCTACCCCAACAGCAAGTGTGACCAGTAGCCACAGAAATTGTCTTTTTGTGTATGTGTTCTTCGTCAGATTCCAAGTGTATGTATGTATTTGAAAGAACTGTTGAAAGTTGAACGGGCCAGTATGGATGAAACATTGATTTAGGTCTTATTTCATTGTGAAGTGCAGAGAGCCACAGGGAGTGTGCACTACAGAAGTGATCTTTATTGTCATTAATATTATTATTATTATTTTTATTATTGTTATTATTATTATTATTATTATATTATTATTATTATTATTTTTATTATTGTAATTATTATGATGGTGATGATTATTTTTATTATCATCATTATTAGATCTCTATCCCACACAGCTTCGGTTGGGTTGGTCTAGATGCTGACAAGCAGGATTGAAGCCGCCCACCTTGTAGGTGACCTTAATTGTGTTGAGAGGGATGTTACGAGTTCATAATTAGCCTACCCTTATTCTATATATGTACATAGTCTATATTGCGGACATTGAGGTGAAAAATAACATTTGCTATTGGTGACAAGAATTCTTTCTACATTGCATAGCATTGTTGTTGTTGCTTCGTAGGTCATGCCCAGGCTCAGAAGCTCAAGGTCATCCCAGACGAGGCCCCCAACGCGACGGACGTGGAGGAGAGCATCAAGAAACTCAAGGCTAACGACAAGGAGCTGAAGGCGCTCAACCTCAACAACATCAAGGTTTGGACTTGTGTGTGTGTGTTGTGGGGGGGGGGGGGGGAGGGGGGGGGGGAGCAGATGGATTGAATCATGTCTACGGATCTGGTGGTTATTTCTCGTCAGGTTTTTTTGGGTTTTTTTAGTTTAGTTTTTTATTTTGTAAGTTTTTTAAAAAAGGCACAGAGGAATTTACTAGTTTCTAGTGTCTGTTGGGTGCTTCGCTACCACAAGCAGGCGTCCTGAGATGGATTCACGGGTGGGGAGAATTTGATTGAGTATCACGATCTCTCTGCTGGGGTGTTGTATTCTTCTTAGCCCAGGTTGGCCCTGACTGGAAGGGCAGAGGCCCGTCTGCTTAATGATCTTAACTGTGTTGATTGGGAGCGTAAAATCCCCAAGATCTATTTATATTTTTCTTTATGATTGGGAGCGTAAAATCCCCAAGATCTATTTATATTTTTCTTTATTTTTTTAGAGGAATTTTGATTGGGTTTTTCCGTTGTATGTGTGAATAGTTACAATTTCCTGGCTTTTGTGTGTTACAATAGCGTTTTTGGGGAAGTTGAACCCGTATCCTATGTAAACAGGGGGAAGGCAAAACACCTCCTTCATTTTATGCTCCTTAATTTCTCAGCAAAAACAAATATTGAGTCGGATTCTTTGATGTGAGGAAAAAATATGTTACCAGTACTTTGTAAACTCTCATGTCCACATGTATGTATGGGTGGGTGTTTCTGAACATGTCCTTATACATGTATGACAGCCATGAACGGGACAAGCCAGACTGCTAAATTTTTTTTTGGGATGATTACTTTTTTAAAAATGCAGGTGGGTGGGCAGCCCTGCAGAATATTTATGTACTATGGGTTTTTGAAAATGTGACCACATTAGCCGCTTTTCGGAATAGGTCTGCATGTATGTGTGTATTTCAGAACGGGTCCACATATATATGTTTTTCAGAATGTGTCCACTTGTGTATGTGTGTTTTTTGTGTGTTGTGTAAAATATCTTAATATGTGTGTTTTTTGTGTGTTGTTTAAAATATCTTAATATGTGTGTTTTTTGTGTGTTGTGTAAAATATCTTAATATGTGTGTTTTTTGTGTGTTGTGTAAAATATCTTAATATGTGTGTTTTAAAACATGTCCACATTGTTATATTTTTCTTTGTGGACATGTTCAGGTATAAATGTTTGTGTTTCAGAACATTTTTACATTCATATCCATATGTGTGTTTCAGAATGTGTCCTAATATCCACATATCCATATGTGTGTTTCAGAATGTGTCCTAATATCCACATATCCATATGTGTGTTTCAGAATGTGTCCTAATATCCACATATCCATATGTGTGTTTCAGAATGTGTCCTAATATCCACATACCCATATGTGTGTTTCAGAACGTGTCCATAGAGCGGCTGGTAGAGGTCTGTCAGGCGCTACGAGGCAACACGTTCTGTGTGAAGCTGGACATGGCTGCTGTGGCTGCGAATGACAAAGTGGCGAAGGTAAGCACACTTGGTGAAGGTCGTTGGTCGCTTTGAGTCATGTGCTATGGGGTGTCAAGGTCGAAGAATTTTGTTTAAAGCATAAAATGTTATTGGTATTAAGACTACCTATTTTTGTCTTTTTGTACTGAAAGAAAGAAAGGACGGGGTTTTTATTAAAGCAGACTATTGTTTTGTAATGATGAATGTGACTTTTTTATTTTCTGCCAAGTGATTTTGATTTGGTTCGTTTCTGATGTTGTTTGCTCCTTTCCTATCAGACATCTATCGACTTTATCTCTCCTCCTCCTTTTGTACCTCAATATATGTTACTAAAAAGTAACACTTTTAGTCTTCAGCATTTATATGACCTTTTTGTGTTGCAAGTGCTGTAAAACTCTTACTAAAACTAAAAGTAAGCAGTCATCCGTTCTTCTTTATGGGGATGTTAATATGCTGAAAGGGGGGTTGTGCAATGATATTTTCATAATCATGTTGGGTTTTTTAAATTTAAAACATTTGGGGGGGGGGGGAGGGTTAATGATATACTGTAAATTTATTTTCTGTATTTGTTTTAACTTCAGGCTCTGGCGGAAAGTCTAGAAGAAAACGAGACTCTAAAGACGGTGAATGTGGAGTCCAACTTCATCTCTGGGGAAATGATTGTGGAGTTACTCAAGGCTATTAACAAGAAACAAGCTCTCCTGGAGCTGAGGGTAGCCAACCAGGTGGGTGGACCACACAGGATAGTGGCTGGTCAATGGGTGCTCTGGCATTGTGTACTCCTGCTATGTTTTAGGATTAAAAAAAAAAAATTCTGTTGTTGTTTTGTTGGTTTTTTTGTTGTTGGTTTGTTGTTGTTGTTTTTTTTTTTGGGGGGGGGTTGGGTTTTTTTGGGGTTTTTTTGTCTTGTGTGTGTGTCATTTTGTAAGCTTTCAGAGAGATAGATGGTGACATTGGTAGTTCCTTCCAGGGCTCCCCTTTTCAGGCCAACTTAAAAGGTTCCTTCACCCTTTGGTTTACTTTTTTAAGGGGTATTTGTTGTTAACGATCCAGAAATTAAGAGGTATTTAAACCCTTGTTTTAGAAACTTAATGGACCTGTCAAATTTTTCTTTATCTTTCACCCTACAATGTCCACCGGTAGAAACCTGAGGTGCTTGGGAACAAGGTGGAGATGCAGATTGCGAAACTGTTGAAAGAGAACAGCACTCTGCTCAGGCTGGGCATCCAATTTGAGTTTCCCGACGCGCGCATCAAAGTGCACGACAGACTCAAGGAGAACCTCGACGTCTGTGAGTCGTTCATCTCTTTTTCTTCTCCGTATGACTTCTTTATTTTCTTTGCTTCCCCCTCCCTTGCACCATATAATATTTTTATTTTCTTTGCTTCCCCCTCCCTCCGCAACCCAACCCCCTGTATTTCAACATATTCCTCTGTTATTTCCTTCCCCCTCCTCCGTTTCTTCATTTTCTTTTATTTGCTTTCCCCCAACACCCCCCCCCCTCCCCCTTTTTTCTCACCTTATTACATTCTTCTTTGTTTCTCCTTTTTTCCATATCTTTCTTTTATTTGCTTTCCCTCAACTCTTCCACTTCACCATATGTGAGGCATCGTGGTGAAATCAGGCGCTCGTCAAAATAAGGAAATCAAAGAAACGGGCGTTTTTACTCCAGTTACGCAATTTTTATTGAATTTTTTTTTTTGACTCAACACCTTTTATGTCTACATAAAAACACATTTCCCTATGAATTTAACTGAAAAGCATCGCTTAATGGCAAAAAATATGTAAATTTTCAGTTTTCAAGAACTCTCAACCTCTAGAAGTTACCAAACTTTGGCTATGTTGGAAATCAGGAATTGAAGCATGCCGTCCCAATTTTTTATAATTTGTGAACCCAAAATCCTTTGGTTTACACGTTTTATGTTTTTCAGGTTATGCTAAAGTGGATTTTTTCTTTTAGTAATGTATATAATAATATGTGCCATGACCTTTGGAATCAGGTGCTCGTCAATTTTTGGTCATGTGGAGTTGTTGGTTTCATCTAAAAGCTTATTCATTTGCTGTACTTTCCATGAAAAAAATACCTATTTACCTTGAGCAGAAGTCGAGATTTTTACAATTGAAGTGAGTGTGGTTGCCTAGTTTCAGTTGTAAAATTAGCGAGAAATTAGCCGCCTAAGTTCGGTGACTTTGTTAGCTTGAGAATACTTTAAAAACTGAAAAATTACATATGTTTTGCCTTTAATCAGAGTTTTTCAGTCAGATTCACTCGGAAATGTGTTTTATATAGACTGAAAAAGATTTAAATCAAAAAACAAAAATTCTAAGAAAATTAGTCAAACTGGCAGGAAAATGTCGATATCTTCGTTTTTGTCATTTTGACGAGTGCCTGGTTTCACTACGATGCCTCACATATGTACCCCGTGAGATCCACCGTTCCTTTTCCATTGCAAATAGCATTTGTGTTGTATTACTGTATGCTGACAAAACGCCCGTTTTTATTTTGGCACCAACATTTTTTTTATTTTCTTAATCGAAAGCCTGATCCGTTATCCTACTTGTGTGAAAAAAACGATTTGTAACTGTGACTAGTTTTTGAATAATTTCGAATTCAAATTGCCAAAGAACCTTATTTTTCAATGGTTATGCTGATTTTAAAAAACCCTCTGTTTCTCAAAACTGCTGTGAAAAAAAAGAGGCGTAAGATCACTTTAAGACAGTGTGGTATCCTCTGTCTTACACAGTGAAAGTAATTTTGACTGGACGTGATCCCTTACGTTTCAGAGTTGGGAGTCTCGAAGTGTACAGGGGGCTTAGAGTACTCTTTTGAAACTGTTGGTGGTTGGCGGGTGCTCTGGTGTGGTTTGCTCCTTATTTCCTTTGAAACATCTATCGTCCTCATCTCACCTCTTTTTAAAAAAAATGATTGTTACTTTCTTTTGTATTGTGTAAATCCATGCAGAGTGCATGTAATAAAATTGAATGAGGATGAAAACTCTGTTTTTCTCTCCCCCCCCCCCCCCCCCCCCTCCCATTCGTCAAATCTCATATCTTCATCATGTGTGTGTGTGTTGAGAGAGAGAGAGAGAGAGTGGGAGTGTTGATGAATGCTGCAAATATCTCTTTGTGCCGATCAATGTAAATGATATCATATCTCATCTCGTCTTATTTAACTTCTATCTTTCTCGTTGCAGTGAGGAAAAAGCGTACGGGCAAGGCAGGAGGAGACTCCTAGGGGAGCAGCTGTGGTACCAGACCTTGTAGCTGTCTTCACAACTTTGTGTGTGTTTTTTTTTTTTTAACTCATTCTCTGTCACTCTCTTTCTCTCTCTCGCTCTCTCACTCTCTCTCTCTCTCCATGCTCCACGACCTTGTACATACTCTGTAAAGTAGCTGTGCATTTTAAGTTTTATTTTTATTTTCTGAAAAGAGTGGAGACCCTTTTTTTTTGTGTGTGTGTCTTTTTTCCTTTTTTTTTTTCTTCTTTTGTTGGTTAGAAAAATCTTTTACTTTTTAATTCACTAGTCTTCGTTGCCGCTGCCAGTGTATGTATATGTAGATACCGTTAGGCTCATAAGATAATGCCGAAAGTCATTTTTGGGCCGTTTTGAGGAAACGAGAAGAAAACTGTTTCTTTTGAACAATTGACTCTGTGAAAGGCTTGATGTGCACTCAGTTGAGTTTATATTTTGGACCTTTCTTTTGTTATAATAATAGATAGCATTTGTATAGCGCATATCCCCGTTCAACAGCAGGCTCTATGCGCTTTACACTATATTATTACCACAGCAGACCATAGAACACTCCGAAACATTCTCAGCTTCCCGGGAAGCATACAGTGCGAGCAGCTGATTAAGCGCTCAAACACTAACAAACTGACAAGATCTTTCGCTGTCTATAGCCGGGTACCCATTCCCACCTGGGTGAAGTGAGGAAAATTCGTGTAAAATGCCTTTCCCAAGGACACAACGTTCCAGTGAACTATATTACCTAGCTGGTTCTGCTCTTCATTTCAGAACCAGAAGTTCCAAACCGGCCCAAAATGACGTAGACGTAGGTGGTTATCTTATATATGCCTGACAATATGTAGTAAGATAAACAGAGTTGAACCTCACATGACACTGCAGTAAGAGTTTCTGAACCTAACTAACTCCTCACAAGTGGCTGATGGGTGGTCTGGTGTGGTTTGCTCCTTCTTTCCGATCAAGCGGTCATCATCCTGATCCCCCCTCCTCTTTTTTTTGTGTGTGTTTGAAAAAGACCGAAGGGCTAGAACCCAAATGGCCGCTGGATCGGAAAAGTAAAGTAAAAGTAAAAAAAAGTGTGTGTTTGTTACTCTCTTGTAACACTTCTAATTTTCGACACTTAAGTGACCTAATTATGTTGCAATCACCATAAAACTCAATAAAGCTACACTGAAAAGAAATATGTAGGCTGTTTTCTGAAAAAAGAGAGAGAGAAAGAGAGAGGCCTGAGTACTGTTATGGCAAATATCAAAATAGGGAGTCTTTTCTTCAGTGAAATTTTGCCAAGACACATAGCCTGTCACTGATGAGTTGTATGTTTGTTGCCTAAGTACGAGCATGTCTTAGCTGGAAATTGTATTGTGGGAGGTTCAATTCTTTTTGTCAAGCCTGCATGTTTGATTTTTTGTTTGTTTTTAGTTGAATCGTGCTTCCTTGCGTCCAGTTTTTATGATGGGAAAGTGGTGTGTGGGTGAAAGATATTTTCAGTTTTTTAGTATTTTCTATCTGGCGTAGAAATTTGGTTCAGTTTTTTGTGTACAGTGTTTTAGTCCGGTGCCTTTCAAGTGTAGATTTAAGTTTATATTGCACGTGATTAGGTCAGGTTTTATTTCAACAATATCGTGTTGTTTTCTGATTTATCACACCTTTGGGATGGTCTTGCAAACAGACGTTTGAGACGTAGCTGCTGGTGTAAATATAATGAAAACAGGAGAACATTAAGGAAAGTGAATACCTGTGGTGTGGGGTATTGTTCACGACACCTGTAGATTGTTGATGATTTTTGTCTTGTTTGTCCCGTACTGGTTGGACATATTTTGTCTGTTTTGTTCAATCTGACGTATTATTTTGTCTGTTTTGTTCAATGTGACGTATTACTTTGTCTGTTTTGTTCAATCTGACGTATTACTTTGTCTGTTTTGTTCAATCTGACATATTATTTTGTCTGTTTATTCTGTGTCCCGAATTGTTTGTTTAACCTTTATGATGTCTGTTGTTGTTTTTTTTTGTCTGTTTCTTCAACCTGATGTTTTATTTTGTCTATTTATCTTGTGTCAGGTATTGTTTGTTCAACTTTTATGACCTTGTACCTGTTTTGTGTAGTTAACCTGCCCCTGTGTGCCAATGCTGTTTATGTAATGTCATATTGCACATAATGAAGAAAGTGAAACCTGCTCGGTTGTGTCACCAAGAGGGTGCAGACATTGGTTTTGTTTCAATAATTTCTTTATGAAGTTGTCTCTTTTTTTTCTCTTTCTCTACAGCTGTGTCCAAAATGACGACATTGAGACGAGAAAGTTTGATTAAAATATCTGATCAAATGAAGTTGTTCTGAGAACATTTCTGAAACCATTCTTTGTCATCTGTTCAAAAGGAGTGGTTAGTAGTTAGTCCAAGAGGAGGGGGACAATTTGTTTTCATAAAACTTTGGACAAATAGTTTGTTAAAGTTGATAGGAAATAAACTTCCTAGACAATTTTGAACATTTTTGTACCCCTGTGCTCCTAGAAGCACAGGCCAGGGTTGGACAAACCACCCATTGTGGTAACACTCTCCTTTGTTCTCATGATGCACATTGTTTCTCGCAGAATTTTTTTTTTTAATACGTTCGCTTCGGATGTGGTGTCACTTTTTTTTTAGGTAGCAGTGGATTTTTTAATGTTCTCTCAATTCTTATGTTTTTATTTTTATTTTTTTGCACGTCTTTTTTTTTCTGGGTTTTTTTTTCTCTGCTTTTCTATCTTTTTCTTAATTCACAGTAATCCTAGAATACACAGAGCCATCCTTAAGTGAGTACAATTATCTCAGCTGACACCTGGTTAACATTTTGCAAAGGAATTGTCGTTTAACCCTGATGCCATTTTTTGATTTTATACCGTAACATACTTCTATATTTTTACTTTGCACCAATGACACAGCACTTTTGGTATATATTATAGTATTTTGTTTTTGTTTTTGAATCTTGTGCCTGTTTTGGATTGAGATTGTGATCGTTGTGTACTCGCTGATCTGATTTTTACCTGAGACGGAATAAGTCATGAAACGTGGCAGTGACTGAGTGGCTAGATCAGGTCGTCGCAGTGCTAGCAAAAGGACGCATCTCATTTTTCTACTTTTGAAATAAATGGGGAAAAACTGTCTAACTAGACTACTTATCAAATAATGGTAAAAACTTGCTCGTACATGTTTCTTTTGTGACTGCAAGAGCATTTTTGTTTTGGATTTACGAAAGATAGATCTAGGTACCGCCAAACGAAATAGAAGGCTAGTTGCAAAATTTTAGCACAACTCTTGAGTTATTCCGTTTTGCTAGTGCTGTGATGAGGTGTAGTGTGTCTCTGTCAGCTTTTTGTGAGGAGAACACGTGGCTCCTCGTAAAGTCATCCATGGACACTGGCGTCATGGTGTTCAGGAAGTGAGCCAGGCTGTTGTGCCAGGAGTTTGCCAGCTGTTTCATGTTTGTTTCGTTAATTTATTATAATTATTTTTAAGTTTTTCACATTGAATTGTTGAATTTGTCACGATTCCATTTTTTTGCCTCCGTTGTTTCTCGTTTATTTGGTATTTTTAGCATAAGTGTTTTAGAAAGTACTCATTTGCTGATTGACGTAAGTTTGCTGATGTTTCCCCTAGATTTTGATGCTATTTTCCAGGATTCTTTTTTTTTCCTATTTTCCTTGAAGCTGTTTTGTTAGGCTATTAAGTTTTGTTGTTTTGTGGTTTGGGTTGGGTTTTTTTTTAATTGATTAAAGGGGGCCTTAAGTCATTACAAGTAGTCAGATGAATATTTTTGCCCAGTGGGTGGCTGAAAGCGGTGGTAGGATTCAGGACAGTGTAAGTTTTTCTGTATATTGTTTTTGAAATCCATGACATTTAGGTATTTTGAAAAAACTGGTGAACAAAAGTTGCAATATTTTCTGTTTGTATCTTACTGTTCGAGCTAGGAATAGGGTACTTGGCAATGAATGACAGAAGGTGGGTAGTTTTTTATCTTCTTTTTTTTTTTTTTTTTTGCATATACTCTGTATAAGAGTAAGAGTATTTGTAATCATAAGCACGATTTTTTAAGAAGATACCATTGTGCTTGAGATGCCAAAATCGCTTTATGAGTGTGATCTAAAACCTACGTTTTTTGTAGTATGTTTGAATAATGTACTACTGCAAGTTTGTATTTCTCAAGGACTATTTTTAGCTGAACGGTGGGTCTCTGCCAGCTTAGACTGTCCCCAGCATTGAGGTTTGCGTCAAAACAGGTGTCCAGTTACTCCAGGTTTCTCAGAGTGGTGAGGTCGCTTTGTACTTCTTCCATCTGTGCCCTGTATGTGTTCAGAAAATTAAACATTTGTGGAGTGCAGTATACTGATTTTGCTGGGCGTTCAATGGGAAAATGGGCCCGAATGCTCATTAGTTTCAAGTTCAGAATTAGAACTTTTGGTTTTTCTGTGATTGTTTTTAATTAAGATTTTAATGAATTTTTTAAAAGCGTCTTTTAGTGACTTGAGGGTCTTCCTCATTTGTTTTTGTTTTTCAAAACAAACATAATGTTATTTTGAAATGGCTTTGTTTTCAACACATTCTGGGTGTCAGGAAGATATTAGAGTCCTGTGCTATTGCTTCGAAAACTGGCAAATTTACAATTGGAATAATGTAATGAAAATGTATAACTGGAATAATGTTATAAATGGAAAGAATAACATGTGTCTCCAAAGATTCTGTTATTGTTTTGGCTTACTTTATGAAGCTTCTCTTCGTTGTGTCCCTTTTTTTATTTTATTTTATTTTTTTTCTTTGTTTTTTATTTTATTTTTTTTTTTTTTTTTTTTTTCTTTTTTCTTTTTTTTTTTTTTGTCCCACAAAGACAGTATTAGCTGCTGTGTCCATGGCCTGACAGGGGCTGATTTGTCTGGCAATACTACTACTACACTACTACGACTACCCTTGTAATCATTGTGCTTGTAGATAGCTCAGATCATAGGTTGTTCAGCCTCAGTGTCTTGTCTCTATGGGCTCAACCACCCTCTGTGTATATTTTGTGTGTGCTTTCGCTTCCGTGTTGATCCACTGAGTCCATGTGGTTTAGTAAGAGAGGGTGACTGATTGAAATTTTGGATTTGGGTTTTTTTGGGAGGTAATAAAAAAAATGGAAACATTTGATTTGTGTTGAAGGTGGAAAGGAGAGAAAGGACCTTTAAAAAATTTTAAAATTTTCCTCTCGAAAGAAAAGAAAAGACCCGCTGAGTCCATATGTGTTGAGGGACAGGGACAAATTTTTTAGGTTATTTTGTCTGGAGGTTGTAAAAAAACAAAACAAAAAAGAAAATAAAACATTTCAGTTGTGCTGAAGGTGAAAAGAAGATAGACAAGGAGGTGAAAAGAAGATAGACAAGACACTTAGGAATAAGCCTGACGTTTTTTCCCTGACAAAAAAAAAAAAAAGAGAAAAGACCATTAGAAGTAATGTGTGGGGAGAACATTATTATCGAATGTCCCGATCTTTCTGCTGGGATGTTGTATCCCTCTCAGCCCGGGTTGGCCCTGACAGGCAGGTTGGAAGCCCCCCCCACATAAATGATCTAAATTGTTACTTTAACCCCTACCCCCCCCCCCTCTCCCCTCCCCTCTCTTCTTGAAGAAGAGATTGAGCTGCAGTTCATAAGTAACTTTACCTGTTACTATAAATAACCTGTGTTGTCCTGTTGTGAGACTGTGGGTTTGGGTAGTTCGATCCTCAGCTCGGTCGGAATTGTGTCCTTGGGAAAGGCACTTTACCCGAATTTCTCTTTTGGCTCGGTCCTTTTGGAGATGGACGTTAAACTCTGACTCCAGAGGTTCAGCCTCTTAAATAACCTAACAGAGTTGATAAGGGCATTTAACCTATACATGTACCATTTTAACCCTTTTTTTTCTCTGTAGTCCTGCTCTGTGACTGATGCTAGTACCTTCTGGTACAGATAGCATGTTGTGAGTCTGTAGGTTTTACAGCATTGTCGCCACTTATCGGGTCAGTACTGAAGGGCCTGATGTGAGATGTGCTGTAGAGGACGGGCCAAAGTGTGTTCCCCGGGGCCTGAATGTCTCTTTCTGTACTGTGGTCACGCATGAAATGTAAATAAACTTCTGATGCTGTCGGGTGTGTACTGGTGAGAGGGTTAGCAACATGGGTAGCTGTTGTTTGTTTGTGCGTTTGATGGGGGGGGGTTCTTCTGTGAAGAAAATGGGTGGGTAAAATAAAAATGCCCTCTTCTGCTTAAGTCAGTTCTGTTTGTCTGAATACGTGATGAGGGTTACGTTACATTCGTGAGATTGCGGGTTCGGGGGTTTGAGCTTCTGATCGGTCCGACGGTATGTCCTTGGGGAAAGGCCCCTTACAGTACACAAGTTTTCCTTTTGGCTCGGTTCTTTCGGACATGGACGTTGAACTCGGAGGTCCCGCCTCTTAAATAACTTTATAGTGTTGATAGGGGTGTTAAACCTATACCATGTCACGACTTCTTCTGTGGGAGATGAACAGTAAAGTCGGAGATCCCGCCTCTTGAATCTATCTAAATACGCGTAAGGTTGATAGGGGCAGGCATTAAACCTATACGTGAGGCAGCGTGGTGAAATCAGGCTCTCGTCAATTTTTGGGCATGTAGAGTTATTGGTATCGTCTTAAAGCTTGTTCACTTGTCTTTATTTGGATGAAAAAAATATCCATTTATCATGAATACAAGTCGAGGTATTTGCGAATGAAGGAAGTGGGGGTCACCTGTTTTCAGAGGTAAAATTAGAGAGAAAATGGCTGCAAAAGATTAGTTATAACGTTAGCTTAAGAGTCCGTGGTAACTGAAAATTTACATTTTTTGTGCCTTTAATCAACGTTTTTATGAAAAATCCTCACAGAAATGAGTTCTTTAATGGGCATGAAAATTGTTGAGCCAAAAAACAAAAATTTGATAAAAATTCACAAACCTGCGGAAAAATGCAAGTTTCTTCACTTTGATTATTTTGACGAGAGCCTGATTCCACCTCGCTGCCTCACCCACCATTTATTCGCCATTGTTGGTGCCCGTCAGTTCGTCCCGGCCACCTTCTGTCTGTGGCCACTGATGTCCTCTGGTTGTGTGTTGTGATGACGCGTTGCGTGTCCCCTCTGTAGTTTGCTTATCATAGAATGTTGCCTATACTACAATGCGATTTATTTTTGTTTTCCATAGTGGTGTGCTTATCTTTTATCTTTTTATTTTTTTTCTGTAACTTATTGATACCAGATTCACCATGCACGCCTGAATATGGAGTACGAAATAAACTATTTTTACTTCCCCTGAATTGTATTTTTTGTTTCACATGGTTTTTGCTACTTTTTTAATTAATGTTTTGGTTGTTGTTTTTGTTGGGGGGTTTTTTTGGTGAGGGAGGGGGGGGGGGGGCTGTGAATAGTGTTGTAAAAACTATTGTACTTTGAAAATGATTTCAGCTTCAGTTCTCTATTGGTACTATGATGAATTATGGAGTATGGAGGGGATGGTCATGGTTCCTGACCTGTACTGGCTGTTCTTGGACTTTATTGGTTTTGTCATGTGGAGTATTCGTGGCTCTCAACCTGTTTTGTTGGGTCCTCCTATTCGATGATGGACGTTCTATTCTATTCGTGGGTACTGCCTCTTCTTAAATAGTGTTGTTAGGGGCGTTTAACCCATACATTTACTTACTCCCCCCCCCCCCCCCCCCACACACACACCCTCAACTGGCGGGTGGTTGGAGGGCGTCACTAGTAGTTTCTACTTCTTTTCTCTTCCTCTGTTATTTCTGACTATCTGTCTTGCTTCTTCCCTTCACTATATGACCATTATTGTGTCGATGTGCTTCTCTTTACTCGAATAAATAAACCAAAACAAAGTAAACCCCAAAGTGGGCGGTTGGCGGGCGCTCTAGTGTGGTTTGCTCCTTCTTTCCTATCAAACATCTACCGTCCTTATCTCCCCTTCTTCTTTTTTATGTTAGTTACTCCCTTGTAACACCTCTAATCTTCTGGCGCTCATATGACCTTATGCAGTTGCAAGCACCGTAAAACCTCAACTAAACGAAACTAACGAAACCCTAAACAACCAGAATGCCCGTCTTGACAGCGTTAATACAAACAGTCGAACCCAAAAGACAGGAGCAGTGCCACTGACTGAAGTGTCTTTAGGCCATTCCCAAAGGAGCGCGCTCATATGACCTTATGCAGTTGGAAGCGCCGTAAAACCCTATAATATAGGGTTTTACGATGTACTACTAATTCCCAAAGGAGGGACATTTCTCGTTCAAGCATAGTAGAATTGTAAATGGGCTGACTCAAGTCACGCTCATAACTGTGCCTGATCTACAACACAGGGAACTGC